TTTTTTTTTTGGATGTTTATAATGACTTAGTCCAAATAATAACAGTTTTCATTGTGCCGACTAGGTGAATAAGATGATCCAAAGAGATTACGTTGAAAATAGACCGAAAACTAATTCAGAAAGATGAGAATGTGGATAAAGCCTTTCAAAATAGAGTAAAATCAAATCCTTACCTTTGCAATGCGGCATTAACGTTGATTAGTGGGAAAAAAGATGGCTCGCAGATCAGACCAGCTGAATCGCAGACTTTTTCACAGGACTCCTCCTTTGCGCCCACCTTGGGCTGGAGAGATGTGCTCGGGGGCCAGAAAGACGTCTTCGAGCATAAATCTCGAGATATCAACATGTTTACTCTAATTAGCATTCCTTCGGGAGTGAATTCCTCGGGAAGAAATGGTCGTGGCTGAAATAAATTCGCGTACTAGTTAACCACTGGGTTACAAACTTCTACATACTGCTACCACAAAATTTTGCAAAAAAGAAAAAACTCTTTAGCACCTACTTTTTCGAGAAGTGCACTCCTTATGGCATGTGCTAATGCTACCGTATCGTTTATGTCAACGGTGTATACGTAAGGTTTGCCGAGACGCTCGATGTAAGGCGCTTGACTAGTGAACTGAAAGAGTTTGATTGAATCAAAATTGAAACACTCAGAAAATCAAAGCTCATGGTGCAAGAAAGAACAAACTTTTATGAATCATCTACAATAAGCAGATCTAGAATGGAAAGCAAACCAACATTTTAAAAAAATGAAATCTTCAATACCATCTACTAAGAACTTCAGCTGTTTACGCACAGTTATTGGAGAATAAAGGAAGATCCACAAAAGTAGGACAGAGTGTCAGATGGAATGACTGCACTATACCAATGAAGGAAGAACAAAGAAGTGTGCTTTCAGAAATATAAGAAAAAGAAAAAGTTAATGCTGTTAATCCAAATGTTACTTTCTACCACATAAGACTAATAACTTTTATCGGAAATGCAGAGAAGCATGACGCACCGCAAATCTATGCAAATCCATGATTTATGGAAGGTATCTGCCCACATAGACATCGCCGATAGGGTCTCTAACATATTAAATATCTGAGTCTTTTGATCAAGGAACAAATGCTGTAGAAGAGTTTCACATTACAAGGAAAAATAAGAACAAGGATTTCAGAGAAAAGACATTTCAGCAAGTATTGTGTGAGTAATTTAAGAGCTTTAAATTCATCAGCAGACAGTTGATTAACAAACGAAAAGTAGGAATTTTTGCTCTAACAATCATTTTCTCATAATAAATTTACTTGTCTAGGACTCCCTGTGATATCAGCATGTTGGGTACTTCCTATCATCCAAAAAAAAATTGAACTCATAAAAGCGGCTCTCACCTCTCTCATTGTCGGTTTATCGCGGAAAAATATCGTATTTAGTCGAGACTTCGGAGGATCAAACTTCGGATTGATAAAGACAGCGCCATTAGCAATAGCTTCCAATGGGGCAGGTCCTTTAAATTACCTTACTTTAAAAAGTTTTAGGATTACTACAAGCACATTCATAAACATTTGGCAGCAAATTATGTTGAAGCTTATTAAACAAGTAAAACAAGGTGTTAAACGAAAAGAAAAAAGTTTTGGAGGGAAAACAAGGAAAAACTACAAACCTTCAAAAGGAAAGCCTAGTCCAACGAATAAGTTCACTGATCTCAGAAGAGAGGTTATTCCTGTGAAGTTCAAAAAGCCGTGATTGCTTATATTGGAAAAGAGATCAGATTCTGTTCCATTTATATCAGCAACAGTAGCATGGACCTAAATTGGTTAATATCTTAATGAAAACTATGATAGATCATGTTTACAACAAAAAGAAAATTGGAAATTACCTCAGTTAGATTCTTCAATACACCAATTACAGACTCGCACTTATCCCACATATACTTTTCCTTCCCATACACTAAAGAGGTAGCACCATGTGAGCCACGCTCAAATAGAGGTTTCACATCGGAGTCATGGATCGCAAAGCCGAGAAAACCATTATCGGGAGTATGCGGGAAGAATGTCCAGTATTGTAGAAGTTGCAGACCATGCCCTCCCCAGGGATTTTTTTGCTTTGTTCCTAAAAAGGAGATTTTACGTTCTGTTTGCTTTTCCATTCGTTCAGTAAAACCTTTCGTGGAAAACTCGGCTTGATGAGCATTGAAGTACGATCTGTAGTTGAACTCAACATGCGTACCAAAACTGTCAACCAATCGCAATCGACATCTAAAACGCAAAAATTAAGTTCCGTGTATGGCTCGAATTAGAGGCTAAGATATAACAATTCAAAGTTGTGACCGATACAGCCGATTTGCATCAGCTGTATCTTGCTCATTGTTTCCTGATGGGTCTTTTGTGTGTGTGATTATATATTAATTAAAATTTTGGAGCACACCTCAAGTCAGCATAATATGAATCTATCTCAGTGGATCCGACAACTTGCAGTGTGAATTGACGATAAACTAAAGATCTCAAAGGGAAAAAACAAGATGCCAAGTCTGGGTTTTTTTCGCGATCTACAAAAAGCTTTAAATCGCCCGGTTTAGAGGTTTTTGCTTCAAAATAGAATTTGCCCGGCCCAAATCGCGCCTATCTTGAATTTGTTTATTATGTAATCCTTCACTCTACTTAAAAATGACAGTAGAGAAAATCGCTAAAGGTAAACAGAAGAGGTGATTGTATGAATAAGCTCAAAATTTCTCAGGAGATTATATAAGGGAAAGGTGCTAAGATATGGTGAAGACTGTATAAAATTACTTACTTGTGGTGGACAAGAAAATTCCTTCTCTTTTTGAATGACCTTAGACCAATAATATCCGTAATAATGAGGTCTAATCGCAATCGACTGTCTTGAGGAGGACAAGGCGATTCGATGGGAAACC